GACTTTTTTTCCAAACCTTTTTGAAAGGTCTTCTAATCTTAAAAATCGCTCGCCTAACTCGAGTTTGGATTTTTCTGCAAAAAAAAAAAAAAAAAAAAAGACTCAAAAGTGTGAACACATCACTTTACTTTAAATTTATAAACATGAATATGTAAATGGTAGAAGTTTCAAATGTGAAAGGATAATCTAAATTTGAATCCAGTTAAATCAATGTGAATGCATTAGCAAATATCTTATTTAGAGAGCTATATTTAATTATTAAGGTTAATGTTCTTAGTGTGAAAGGTACACATGTGCCAATTTTTATTTTCGATAATATATTCTTATCCTAAAAGTTTGAAATATTATGCATTTTGTGACATTAAAACACCACAATGTACAAAGTCTTAATTAGATGCGGGACGAATTAAAAAAAAAAAAGATGAGACACACCAACCATATTTTTAATTGAGCTTTTTTTGTAATATAGCTTTCTTTCACGGGATTACATCTCTAATATATCGACGATTTCAAAAATATTTTCTAACCGGTGAATTATTAACTCTCAAATTAATCTCTTAATAAGTATTAGCTACGTATTTTCTTCTTTCTTTTTGTTTATGGTATCCATTCTTGTTAATTCTACGCATTATTTTTTCTCTATCCCTTGTTATAAGAAAAGATCTCTTAGAAAGAATATAAACACACCAATAATATCATTCATCTCTAAAAAAAAACACAAAATAAGGTTGTATTGATTTGTTTAGTTTTTTAGTCGATTCAATTTTGACCTGATTTTAATTTAAAGTTTAATTCAAGCTGGCATTTTAGGTATAAATTTTATATTCCCAACTAGATCTTAATGTGTCTTTCAATCATATAATAATATAGTTTTCCACTTTGATTTATTGATCTAAATTCTCAAATTTATCTATAAATAACCCTTCTCATTTTAATTTTAAAGCACACCCACCAAGAGTGAAAACTTGCTAAAAAACTGAGAAAAAGGAGAAAATGGTGCTACCGAGGTATGTGGCTTTCAAATCCAAGGCAGATGACTTGTATTTGAAGTACGTAAAAGAAGATGTTCAAATTCATGGATACATCAAGTATGATGCACATAATGTGCTGTCCCCTCACACAAAGTATGAAGTGGAGCCTGCTAAAATTGGCAAAGGCTACGTGAATATAAGGTGTTGTTATAACAACAAATATTGGGTTTGTCCTTCAATCAACACTCGATATGTGGTTGCAGTAGCTGATGAACCAAATGAGGATCAATCCAACTGGGCGTGTACGTTGTTTTAACCCATCTTTGATCCAGATCATCAAGCCTATAGAATTAAGCATGTCTACCTTGGCTACAATACATGTAGTTGGAGGGATGGCTTGACTCGGGACAAGTGCTTATATATGGGGTATTCAACTCCAGACGCCAACCTCTGCGATCTTCATATTGCTATAGATTGGGAATCATTCTATGTTTTACCCAAATATGTTGCATTTAAAGGTGACAATGGATGTTACCTTGCATGCTGGATTGAAGGTTTTCCATATCTCCAATTTTCTTCTAATGATATTGGAGACCCCAGAGTAGGAAATGAAGTTTCAACAACAAATGATGGAAATGTTCGCATTAAGTCAAACCACTTTGAAAAATTCTGGAGACGGAGTCCAAATTGGATTTGGGCAGATTCAAATGACACCACTAAAAATAACAAAGATACATTATTTTGGCCCGTGAAAGTTGATAACAACATTGTGGCACTTCGTAATTTAGGTAACAATCATTTTTGCAAGAGGCTCACAACGGAGGGTAAGACAAGTTGTCTTAATGCTGGTGTCCCCACCATCACCAAGGAAGCACGTCTGGAGATACAAGAGTTGGTTCTTTCGAGAAGCATCTATAATGTCATATTTCATCTTTTGGATGCACGAATTTACGGTCAACATGTCATCACCATGGCCAATGGAGATGCTAGTAATAGTTCCAATAAAGAAAACACTATAGATATCAAGCTCCGTTACACGATTTCTGAGAGTAATACATGGTCTTCCATTGTTTCTGCTAAACTCGGTGTAAAGACAACAATTCAAACGGGTATTCCACTGATTGCAGAGGGAAAAATTGAAATGTCTGCCGAGTTTTCTGGTGGATATACATGGGGAGAAACTCAATCAAAATCATCTGAGATAGAGACCGTATACAAAGTAACTGTGCCACCCATGTCTAGGGTGAGAGTGAGTCTACTCACAACAAAAGGTCAATGCGATGTCCCATATTCGTATACTCAACGTGACACTCTTATGAATGGGGACCAAGTGACTAATTATTACGACGATGGAATTTATACAGCCGTCAATTGCTACAACTTCAAGTATGAGACAAAGCAAGAACCACTCTAAGGTGTTTGTTTACATTGTTATAAGTATTTGGGTTGAGACCAATCATTCTCTCTTGGTCATAATCTAGGAGATTGACTTTAAATAAGGTTATCAACCATCACAAATAAGGTTGGTGGAACCCAAATATGATCTTTTATCGTTTATATGTTCTATCCATTATCATTATGGTCACCATAAATTATTGTCTTTATTTTCATTGCAATATATTCCGCTCAGCCTTATCATCCAAGTGTACAAATATTTAAAACTTTAAATATTTCATAAATAATTTGCTAAAAATCAAACGTTACAAAAATCCTTAATATGTGACAAAAATTATTTATCTGCATTCTAAATACTCAATTTCTTTCATAGTGGATAAATAATTACCAAAAATGTGTCCATGACATATGGGACAAACTTGGTTGACAATCATTTGTCTATTGACCCTAATTTTCAAAAGAGTGGTTATGCATTAATGGAGGAAATTGAAGTTGGCAAAAATTTGGATGTTATTGCAAACATGGAATACCATTATAAAAGAAAACATAAAAGACTCCAAAATGTAAAAGCACGCGATTAGATGGTTTAAAAAGATGGACAAATTTTTTTTGTGAAATAAAACAAAGAGAATTTAAAACGTAATTTAGAATATATTTATATTATATCAAATATAAATTGAAGTTAAAACAAACACAAAACAAGGAATGGACACAAAATATTTAAAACAAAAGGGGGTGGAGGATGACGGGTAAAGCTTATCTATGACATCTTCTCCAGAGTCAGCTCCCGACCTCGACCAGCTCTTTATTTACCTAACAAACATGGGAAACATGGAGTGAGTACAAAGATACAGTAAGTAGCCTACTTGTAGGCTCTTAATCGCGTTTTTGATATGATAGGGTACTACACTCTTTCTTTTCTTGTTCTAATTTTTGTTGTAATTATTTAGACTTTTTAGTTTTGTTATTGATTTAGTGAGTTCTTATCATGATCTATCCTAAGGACCTTGGTTCTTGGATTTTGAGGTTTGAAATCTAAGGGCCTTAGTACTATGATTATGAGTTCTTGTTTTTAGAACTTGGATCTTGATCCATGTTCTAGTCCTTGATCCTTGTCTGTTCTTAGTTACTTTCTATGTTCTCGTCCTGTTTTTTGTTCGTTTTCCAAGACACTCCCCCTAAGATTTACGATACTAGTCATAAACCTGACAACCCATGTCCAAGGCTTCATACGTTTCAAGCGACACAGTTTGAACCTACGTCCAAGGCTTCATGCGTTTCAAGCTAAGTAGTCTAAACTCGCATCTAGGGATTTCCCTGTGATACGGTTTGAAAACCTATGCTTAAGTCTCTCAATTCCTTCATCAAAGTTACTAAAGGAATGCTCAATTTTCAGAAAAATAGATAGTATATAGGAATTCAATACTTATCCCCAAATTATACCCAAAACTGATTTTCTTAAATTGGGCACATTGTTGGGATTAATTCCTTTTGTGGTCTTCTATGAAAATATTGCTTGAAGGTGCAAAAGATGATTGGGATTGGTCTCACTCAACAAATAGGCTTGTAGGCTCGAATTGTATTTTCAAGCTTTTACTTCTTTTTTTTAATGGCGGCAACGATTGGGGGAATGGGTTCTAGGCTCTTTCAACACTCGATTCTTTCATAATACTTGTGGATAATCTAGTTTAGAAACGGTAGAAACAAGTTTGAAGGAAAATGGTAGATAATTGCTCTCGAATTTGGAAGAAATCTAAGAGGAAAAACCCAAAAACTAAATGGCTATGACTCACGATTGAAAGCATGACCTTGCTCCATTGTTGTTCCATATGAATGCTCCAACTTCAGACTTTATAGGAGATGCTTAATTTGGATATTATGTTTTCTATGTTTTTAATATTCTCTTCGACCAGCGAACAACTGACTTCAAATTTAAATTATAGCCACTGGATGTGGCGAGTTGTGTGTCCTCTAGAATATACTCAAATTTGGTGAAACTCCAATGATTCGATTTGAAGATTCGAAGGCTTTTCTGATCATTGGTCATTGCCAAGGATTTGATTTTCTGATTTGTGGCATTTTCGTAATTATCTCGAAGTTAATGGGTATTTTGGTAATTTACCATTTTTCGAATATTTTATTATGAAAAATCCAAAAAAAAATAATTTTTTTTTCTTTCTTAAGCACCTTTAAATTTCTTCTTGATAAGAAATTAAAAATGAAAGTTTCTTGAAAATTGGAAAATTTGACTAATTCCAATCTTCGAAAGGCCTAAATTTCTTAAAATTGCTTGCTAAGGTATTAAAATAACTTGCTTAAGACCCTTGTCTTTGCTTACATACCTTTTGGTCGACTTGAAACCACCCTAGTTTGAACATGGTTGTCTTATGCTTGCTTTTCTAGGGAGATTATCTCATCTATAGGGATTTAGGGATTTATTTATATTTGTTGAACACCGTCATAAGTCCTATTCTTTAGGACTAGGACCTATCTTGCTAATATTTTTAGGCTGGTTAGTTTAGCTTTAGGTTTAGTCTTTCTCTTGTTGAAATCATCAAGTTTTGGGTGTCACATTGTATGTCTGGAGTAACTTGGGTGTTGTGAGTACGTTTGTTCCGCCTTCGGCGCACAACAAGTGGTATCAAAGCCTTATTGTGGTATTTGAGGGTATTGTGAAAGTTTTGGCCTCATCGACCATTAGATGTGCTCACAATCGTTCTGATTCTCTTGAAAATCAATTTTCAAGAATTGTGTTTTTAGTTACATCAAGATTAATTATTGCAGCTGGCAAAATCATCACGGTGTGGATCGAGAGTGTGGTGTTCCAATCTCGAAGTAGAGAAATTTGATGGAACCAATAATTTTGGTGTTTGGCAAGGCGAAGTTAGCGATTTGCTGGTCATGCAAGACCTCGATGTTTCCCTCCAAGAGGAGATGCCTGAAGACATGACAGAAGCAGAATGGACGAAATGGAATTGGCAAGCCTGTAGAATTATTCGATCCTGTCTTGGCAAGGATTAGAAATATCTATTTATGAAGGTTACCATGGCGAAAGAATTATGGACAAGCTTGAGGCAAAATATATGAAGAAGAGTGTGGAAAATAAACTCTATTTGAAGAAGAAACTCTTCCGTTTTGACTATAAGGAAGGTATCTCAATGGCTGAGCATTTGGATGATTTTAACAAAATCATCACTGATTTGCTCCATCTTGATGTTAAGATTGATGACGAGGACAAGGCATTGTTGTTATTAAATTCTTTATCGGAATCCTACTAGTTTTTAGTAACGACCCTACTACATGGAAGCACTAATATTGATTTTGAAGATATTTCAAATGCCTTAATAAACAATGAGATGCGAAAGAAGGAAAAGGAGACATATCAAGGCTCTTGCTCAAATATTCTCACTGCTTATGGAAGGACTTCTACTTGGAAAAGGAACGAATGTGGAGAGTCACGATTAAAGTCGAGGGGTAGATCTGATAATTGGAGAAAACTTGATAAAAATAAGTGTGCATACTGTCGACAAAAAGGCCATTGGAAGAAAGATTGTTCGATCTTAAAAGAGAAGGTGTCAAAGTCCAATGTGGTTAGAGATGACGACATGCCTTGACAATATCCCTATCAGCCAGCCAAACCAGTGAATGGATTCTTGATTCTGGGTGCTCCTATTATATGTGTCCCAACAGAGAGATGTTTTTGGACTTCAAAAAGTTTGATGGTGGAGTTGTCTATATGGGCAATGATAGTACTTGCAAGATGATGGGAATCGGCTCAGTACAAATCAAGATGTTTGATGGGGTTATACGAAAACTCAAAGATGTGAGGTATGTCCCTGACTTGAAGAAAATTTTGATTTCACTTGGCGTTTTGGATGCGAGTGGTTATCGCATCATTTTGGAAGGAGAGAATTTGAAAGTAGCTCGTGTTGCTTTGGTAGCAATTACAGGAACTAGAAGAGGTAGCATATACTACCTCAACGGAACCACAATAATTGGGCATGCTGCTGTGGCAAGTTCGAAAGAACAGACATATCGAAATTATGGCACATGCGACTCGAGCATGCTGGTGAGAAGGCGCTTCAGACATTGGTGAACCAAGGAGTCCTTAAGGGTGCCACAACTAGTAAAATTGATTTCTATGAACATTGTATATTTGGTAAACAAAAAAATGTGAAGTTTGGTACAGCTATACACCAAACAAAGGGCATTTTGGATTATGTTCACACTGATGCATGGGGTCCCACGAAGAATGTCTCATTGGGAGGAAAGAGGTGGTTTGTCACCTTTATTGATGACTACTCGAAGAGAGTTTGGATGTATCCCATGAGGCACAAAAACGAGGTTCTCCAAATCTTCCTAGAGTGGAAGAAAATGGTAGAGAATCAGACGGACAGGAAAATCAAAAAGCTGAGATCAGACAACGGGGGAGAATATACTTCTAATCCATTTCTTAAAGTATGCCAAGATGAAGGGATCGTTCGACACTTCACTGTTCTTAGTAAGCCACAACAAAATGGAGTTACTGAGAAAATGAACTAGACATTAATAGAGAAGGTTCGATGCATATTGTCTCAAGCAGGATTGAGTAAGGCATTTTGGGTTGAGCAGTTATGCAGTTCACTTGGTGAATCGTTTACCTGTTTCTGGAAACGGTGGAAGAACTCCGCTTGAGGTATGGTCAGGTAGTCCTGTTAGTGATTATAATAAATTGCATGTGTTTTGGTGTCCTGCTTATTATCATGTGACAGACTCAAAGCTGGATCCTAAAGCAAAAAAAGTCAAGTTTATGGGCTTTAGCAAAGGTGTGAAGGACTATAGGTTATGGTCTCAAGAAACGAGTAAGATTGTTAATAGTCGACATGTGACATTCGATGAGTCTGAAATGTTTTTGCAGAAAATTGAAAATAATGACGAGGCATTGAAGCAGGTGGAGTAGGTGGTGTTCTCTCCTGATGTGGTTGCTTCTACTGAAGAACCTATTGATCAGGTAAATAATAACTTTGATGTCTTAGAACAGAAAGAGCAAAGCCTTGAGGAGCAAAGCCTTGTCAATGAAAGAGGGGAGGAACCTGAGTCTATCGCCAAGAATAGACCACAAAAGGTAATTCGAAAACCTGCAAGGTTTGATGATACGATAGCATATGCTTTCTCTTTGATTGATGGAGTTCCTAACAGTTACAAAGATGCTATTTAGAGATAGCATCATTGGAGATAAATCAAACTTGGGATTTGGTACAACTTCCAAAAGGTAAGAAGGAAATTGGTTGTAAATGGGTTTTTGTAAAAAAGAAAGACTCTTCTGGTATACATTATAAGGCTCGACTTGTGGCTAAAGGCTACGCACAAAAGGAAGGTATTTATTACAATGAAATTTTCTCACCTACGGTAAAACATTCTTCCATTCGAATTTTGTTTGCTTTGGTTGCTCAATTTAATCTTGAACTTGCACAACTCGATGTAAAAACTGCTTTTTTGCATGGAGATTTGGAAGAAGAAATATATATGGCGCAACCGGTTGGTTTCCGAGTAGTTGGACAACAACATCTAGTATGCAGATTGGAGAAATCTTTGTATGGGCTGAAGCAATCCCCTCGCCAATGGTATAAAAGGTTTGATCATTTCATGGTAGAGCATATGTATACTCATAGTCAATTTGACCATTGTGTATATTATCGGCGTTTCGATGATGGATCGTTTATCTATTTGCTCTTATATGTTGATGATATGTTAATTGCTTCAAAGAGAGGTGGAGATTGATAAGCTCAAAGATCAGCTTTTAAAACATTTGAAATGAAAGACTTAGGCAATGTAGAGAAAATACTTGGAATGGAGATAGAGGGAGATCGGAAAAAAGGTATAGTCTGGTTGACTCAGTCTCCATATCTATGCAAGGTATTGACAAGATTTAGTTTGAATGATTCAACCAAACCCGTTAGTACTCCACTTGCTCCTGATTTCAAGCTTAGTGCTTCCATGTGTCCAAGTTCTGACAATGACAAAAGGTATATGGAGAATATTCCTTATACAAATGCTGTTGGTGTGTTGATGTATGCTATGGTGTGTACTCGACCTGATCCTTCACACGCAGTAAGCATGGTGAGTCGTTATATGCATAATCTTGGTAAAAAGCATTGGCAGGCTGTCAAATGGATTCTTATGTACATTCTTGGCACTATTGATGTTGGTATTAAGTTTCAAAAACAAGAAATGTTTAATCTTGACAATCATGTACCTGGTTATGTGGATTCTGATTATACTGGAGATTTGGATAAACGACGATCTACTACGGGTTATTTATTTACTATGGCTGGTGGACCTGTTTGTTGGCGTTCAACATTGCAGTTTACTGTTGCATTGTCTACCACGGAAGTAGAGTATATGACAGTAACGGAAGGTTTTAAAGAAGCTATTTGGATGCATGGTTTGATCAATGACTTGGGTATTTTGCAGGAACATATAGATGTGTTTTGTGATAGCCAGAGCGCTATTTGCTTGTCAAAAAATCAAGTCCATCATGCTCGTACAAAACATATTGATGTCCGTTTTCACTTTATTCGAGAAATTATTAGCAAAGGGGATATTCGTTTATTAAAAATTGGAACTGCTGATAACCCTGCTGATATGTTGACAAAGGTGATCGCTCGTGAAAAGTTCTCGCATTGTTTGGATTTCATCAACGTCGTAAGGAAGGAGTAGTGTGTTGACGTGGTAGCAACCAAATCAACTATCAACTTGGAGATCTTATGACAAGGTGGAGATTGTTGAACACTGTCATAAGTCTTATTCTTTAGGACCAGGACCTATTCTCAAGGTCTTGCTAATAACTTTAGGCTTTTTAGTTTAGCTTTAGGTTTAGCAAAGGCTATATAATGCCATTCTTTCTCTTGTTGAAATCATCAAGTTTTGGGTGTCACATTGTATGTCTTGAGTAACTTTGGTGTTGTGAGTACGTTTGTTCGGTTTTTGGTGCACAACAATATTAACTTTAAGTTCCAACAAATTCCAACCGTTGGATATGATGAGGTGTATCCTACCAAGATTTGGTAATGGTTAGATGGAGAGATGGTGGAGAGTTTGTGTAGGCATTCGCGTATTCCATCTAAAGTTTTCACACTAATGGCATTTTATATATTTAATACTTCAATAATATTTTGGTAATTGGCCATTTTTAGAATATTTTATTATTATTATTATTACTATTTTTTTTTGAAAAGATTCAAATTTTTTTCATTATCATTTAGTCATTTTTTCCTTCTTGAATACCTTTAAATTTCTTTTTCATAAAGAACTAAAAATTGGAAAATTTATCTTTTTTCCCTTTATGCTGACGTTTTCGAAGGTTTTTCAAAGTCATGCATAGAACGTTTTTCAAAGGTCTTGAATCCTTATTTAGGCCTTTATCCTTGCTCGAGTCTCTTAATTTATTTTCCTCCATACTTTAAACATCTTATGGACATCTGAAACATACTTGAGTTACCTAAACCATACTTGGATTTGAAACATCTTAAAAAACATAGATAATAAAAAGAACTATTAGGTAGCACTATTGTTTTGATTGGCATTTCTAGGTTTTAATTTCTATTCCCAACTATCTCAAAACCTCACAACATGAAAGAGAAGCCTCAAAATTGATTGTATTTCTTTTTTGTTATTTTATTTTCTTAAAAAAAATTATAGGTGCACGTTGAGCAACTATTATGATTTTATATTGTGTGAAAGGATAATCTAAATTTGAATTAATGAATGTATTAGCAAGTCCTACTAATGGAGAAGGGTGAAAATGTGAATGGACATATTGTTGTGCCCATTTCATTTTGTCAAGTTGTTCACAATTAATAGAAAATTGTTCTCAATACCTCGTGTCTTTTTCTAAATTTCGAGGTAAAAGTTAATACATTCTTAGTGTTAAAATACACGTATTCTAATTTTTATTTTCGATAATAAATTCTTAAGATAAAAATTTGAAACATTAATAAATATTTTTTTGTGAAAGTAGATATGCATTTTATGACATTAAAACACCAAAATGTAAAAAGTCTTAATTAGATGAAGGAACGATTAAGAAAAGATGGGTTTGTGATACATTTACAAAACGAATTATAAATGACTCTAAACATAGAAACATATTGACGCTTCGAAACGATTCCCTCTATGACTACATAGCTCTCGAACGCTTCCCACCTTGATTGGTAACCTGTGAATACCTAGAAAAGAAAAGTGGAAAGCGCTAAATATTAAAGTACTTAGTAAGAAATCTACTTGTAGGCTCTTATCACATCTTTAACCTAATAAGTATCCACGCCGCCTCTTAGGATGAGATTATTACTCTTGCTCTTTCACAAGGTTGGTGTAGCTATCACATTATCCCAACCAACCTGTGTCTAGCTTGACGGTATGGGTACGAGAGTAAAAACTTGACGGTATGGATATCGGAGTGGAAAGGGAAGCAAAGACTCTGATGACATCATTAAACAACTAATTTCCCAGAGACACCGTACATATTGCTAATGCCATAGAAAGCTACCTTTATCATTCTTGGATACTGTGATGGTATACTTGGTTCTTATGGGCATCTTGATGATTTGGTTCACAACTATCTTTTTTAGGATGTTTAGGACTAACTCTTTCATTAATTCATACTTTGGGTGCACACTAGTCTATACTTTTTATTGCTGCTCATGATTCTAAAGTGATATCTTGGCGAACATAAATATCGAATGTAACGTCCATACTAACATAGCATAACGAGAAAGTATCACGATGCACATGACATACATAAATGTATGAGGCTTCTATGGCTTAAAATTATAGCATACAATAAGAATCATTTAATTCTTCTTTTCATTCATGTCATATTATACATATGAGTCATGTATGCATAGTCATTCATCATAACTTTCATTTTGCATCATTTTGCATAATCTATAACACGGTTTCACATTACATGCCATAGCATAACATACATAGCATCTCATATCATACATACTATGACATAATACATAATAGGACATCACACAACGTACATAACTTAGTGGGAAAAGAACTATTAAGTAGAACTTCTAGGTTTTAATTTTGGTAGTATTTCAAAGTTGCTATTTTATTTTCTTATCCTCAATTTTGAGGTTAATAATGTCTTATTTAAAAAGCTATATTGAATTATATTTAATTATTAAGGTTAAAAGTTAGAAACGTTAACAAATTCTTTTTGTAAAAGGTACACCTATCCCCATTTTTATTTATGATAATAAAATTTTAACATAAAATTTTGAAAGTAATTATGCATTTAGTGATATTAAAATACCATCGTGTATAAAGTCTTAATTAGGTGAAGGACGAATTAAAAGAAAAGATGAAATACACAAAAATATTTATAATTGAGCTTTTTTTGGAATGGTGTACATGATACTCTATCGTATTGTTGTAGTATATGCATCTATACTAATCATAACGGAAAAGTATCCTGATATATGTGAACATATAATTTCACATTCATCAATGACATAACGTATCAACATGGTGTTTCATATTATGACATATCTCATAGTAACAATGCATCATATCATAGCAAGCAAACATATCAATCACAAGATACGACACATACAAGGGTCATAGGACATGCGCGGATCATACTTCAAACAATTCATTTAATCTAACTAGTAGTGAAACCACTTATCTGGGTAGCTTAAGTTGAAGTCACTGTTTAATCCTTGAAGCTAGTCAAATCCTCTCCATTAGCTGCTTGCTAACTTTACCTTTGAATTCTGACCATTGGATCTCTAGCCCCTTGTATCAAAGCCTTGTGATTAAAATTTTCCGTGATGCAGACCGTTGAATTTCCATAAATTTTGAGAGGTATTTTGAAAATTTTCCAATTTTTCAATATTTTATTTAAAAAATACAAATTTTTTAAAAAGTCTCTTATGCTTTATGCCATTTTTCCTTTCTTGAACCTATTTTAAGTTCCTTTTCCGTAAGGAGTTAAAATTTCAACAATTTTATGCTTATTATTTCATTTTCAAACCTTGTCGAAAGGCGTTCGATCCTTAAAAATCTTTCTAAGAAATTTAAATGGCTTAGTTGAATACCTTAACTCGAACAAAAATGTAGAGGATCGATCTCTTGGGTAGCTTGGTGTAAGATGTTTTAGCTCTTGATTCTTCATTAAAGTTGCTGATTTCAATTCTCACGAGTTATAGGAATGCTTAATTTTAAGAAAAGTGAACCGTGGACAGGAATTTGATATTTATCCCAAAATTAAGCCTGAAATTGATTTTCTCCAATTGAGCATGTTCTTGGGATTAATTCTCTTCGTGGTCTTCTATGTAAATACTCCTTGAAGATGCAAAAATTGGATGGGATTTGCCTTGCTTGATAAATAGTGTGTAGGCTCGGATTCGATTTACAAGACTACTTTGAACTTCTTCAATGGCGGCAACGGTTGAGGGAGTGAGTTCTTAGCTCTTCCAACACTCGATCCCTTCATAAAACGCGTGGGTAATCTTATGTAGAAGCTATAGGAACAAGTTTGAAAGGAAATGGTGGAAAATTGCTCTTGGAATTTGGAAGAAATCCAAGAGTAGGAAACCCAAAAACTAAATGGTTATAACTCACAAGTGAGAGCTCGACCTTGCTCGATTCTTGTTCCTATGCATACCCCAACTTCAGACTTTATAAGAGAAGCTTAAATCAATGTTGAAACCTCTAGAATGGTCGTGATTTGAAGATTGAGTTTTCTAAATTTATCATCAAAAATATCTTTTTCGATCAGCAAGCAACCGACCTCCAATTTGAAATTTTGTCGTTGGATGTGATGAGTTGTGCCTTCTCTAGAACATACTCAAATTTTGTGAAGATCCAACCGTTTGATTTAAAGATCCGAGGGATTTTTTTTATCACTTCTCACTCCCCGTATATGATTTTCTGATCCGTGGCATTTTCGTAATTATTTCGAAGTTAAAGGATAATTTGGTTATTTTATCCTTTCCCATAAGGCCTTAAAGATTATTTATTAGGGTATTGAAATGATTTGCTTAAAACCTGTGTTCTGGATGGAATGTCTTGATTTTTTTCTTGAATCCTTTGTATTACTTTTAACTTTACTTTCGGTGTTACAATAGACCTTACATATATTTATTGTAATTAATTTAATTACATTTACACACATGACCATCATTCTCACCTAACTCGAGTTTGGATTTTTTTTTTAAAAAAATGACTCAAAAGTGTGAACCCATATCAATTTGGTTTAAATTTAAATATTAGAAGTTTCAAAATGTGAAAGGATAATCTAAATTTGATTCGATGTGAATGCATTAATAACTCCTACGGACTGAGCTGGACACACCATAACGTACATTAACGACTCCTACTAATAGCTATATTTAATTATTAAGGTAAAAGTTAATATATTCTTAGAATGAAAAGTATACGTGTCCCAATTATTATTTTCGATAATAAATTCTTAAGGTTAAAGTTTGATACATTAATAGTAGTTATGTGTCTACTTACGTTAAAACATCATAGTGTACCATTGCATTATCAACGCTCAAAATTAATCTCTTCATATGTATTAGTTACATTTTTTCTTATTTCCTTCCTCTTATAGTATTCATTCTTGTGAAATATTACTTTTTCTCATCCTTTTTAGAACAAAAGATCTCTTAGAAAAAATATAAACACAAGGAAAACATTATTCTATCTAAAAAAAACCCAAAATGAGGTCGTATTGATTTGTTTAGTATCTTAGCCAATTTAATCATAATCACGTACTCGATAAATTAATTTTGATATTGATGTGATAGTTTTTACCCGAAAGTCTAATTCTAGCTGCCATTTCTAAGTATTAATTTTATCTTCCTAACTACTTCATTTAATGTCGTCTTTCAATCATATTATTATATAGTTCTCCACTTTGATTCATTGATATCAATTCTAAAGTTTATCTATAAATAGTCATTCTCGTTTTAATTTTAAAGCACACCCACCAAGAGTGAAAACTCGCTAAGAAAAACAAAAGAAAGGAGAAAATGGTGCTCCCAAGGTACGCGGCTTTCAAATCCAAGGCAGATGACTTGTATTTGAAGTACGTAAAGGAAGATGTTCAAATTCATGGATACATCAAGTAGGATGCACATAATGTGGTGACCCCTCACACAAAGTAGGAAGTGGAGCCTGCTAAAGTTGGCAAGGGCTATGTGAATATAAGATGTTGTTATAACAACAAATATTGGGTTTGTCCTTCAATCAATACTCGATATGTGGTTGCAGTAGCTGATGAACCAAATGAAGATCAATCCAACTGGGCGTGTACGTTGTTTGAACCCATCTTTGATTCGGATCATCAAGCCTATCGAATTAAGCATGTCTATCCTATCGAATTAAGCATGTCTACTTTGGCTACAATACATGTAGTTGGAGGGATGGCTTAACTTGAGACCGGTGCTTGTATATGGGATATTCAACTCCAGACGCCAACCTTTGCGATCTTCATACTGCTATAGATTGAGAATCATTCTATGTTTTACCCAAATACGTTGCATTTAAAGGTGACAATGGAAGTTGTCTTCAAGCATGGTGACAATGGAAGTTGTCTTCAAGCATGCTGGTTTTAAGGCCTTCCATATCTCCAATTTTCTGCTAATGACATTGGAGACCCAACCGTGGGAAATGAAGTTTCAACAACAAATGATGGAAATGTTCGCATTAAGTCAAACCATTTTGGAAAATTCTGGAGACGAAGTCCAAATTGGATTTAGGCAGACTCAAATGACAAAACTGCAAATAACAAAGACACATTATTTTGGCCCGTGAAAGTTGATAACAATGTTGTGGCGCTTCGTAATTTAGGTAACAATCATTTTTACAAGAGGCTCACAACGGAGGGTAAGACAAGTTGTCTTAATGCTGGTGTCCCCACCATCACTAAAGAAGCACGTTTGGAGATACAAGAGTTGGTTTTTTCGAGAAGCATCTATAATGTCATATGTCATCCATGTCATCTTTTGGATGCACGAATTTATGGCCAACATGTCATCACCATGGCCAATGGAGATGCTAGTAATAGTTCCAATAAAGAAAACACTATAGATATCAAGCTCCATTACACGATTTTTTAGAATAATACATAGTCTTCCACTGTTTCTGCTAAACTCGGTGTAAAGACAACAATTCAAACAGGTATTCCACTGATTGCTGAGGGAAAAATTGAAATGTCTGCTGAGTTTTCTGGTGGATATACATGGGGAGAAACTCAATCAAAATCATCTGAAATAGAGACCGTGTACAAAGTAATTGTGCCACCCATGTCTAGGGTGAGAGTGAGTCTACTCACAACAAAAGGTTATTGCGATGTCCCATATTCGTATGCTCAACGTGACACTCTTATGAATGGGGACCAAGTGACTAATTATTACGATGATGAAATTTATACTGCCGTCAATTGCTACAACTTCAAATATGAGACTAAGCAATAGCTGCTGTAAGGTGTTTGCTTTGCACGGGTATAAGTATTTGGGTTGACACGAATCATTCTCTCTTAATTATAATCTAAGAGGTTGACTTTAAATAAGGTTATGAACCATATAAATAAGGTTGGTGGAATCCAAATATGATCTTTTATCGTTATATGTTTTGTATAAGAAATTTCCTAAAAGCACATTTTAATTGTATGCCCATTCTTTAAAAAAATAATAATAAATAAATAAAAATAAAAAATAAAAAAATCCAACCAAGTAGAACTATCGAAGTAGTCCGTGGTTACAAACTTAAACTTCAAAAAATAAAATAATTATCAGATTTTTTTTTTTTCTCAACTGATGTCTCTCCAATCTCAAAATAGAATTTCTATTTTCTTATTTTAAAAAATATATATATATTTCATTAAATTTTTTTATTAATACATTTTATTTTTTAAAAAATCTTTAAAAATATCCTTAAAACTTTCTAATTTTTATTAATACTCTTCAAACTTTTTTAAAATCTTAAAAAATATCTTTAGATTTTTTTTAAAAGAAATTAAAAAATACTTTTATTGTTAGTATATGGACGGAACCTACCACAATTCAAAAATACCCATAATCGATAAATTTTTTTAAAAAAAAATCAGACAAAAATTATTTACCTACATTTCAAATAATCAATTTTATATGAGACATTCGGTCTATATCCATGGGACATTCTGCCATGGATAAATAATTACCAAAAGATGTGTCCATGACATATGGGACAAAATTGGTGGACAGTCCATGGACCCTTATTTTTATGGACTAATTAATAATAATTTTTTAGTGGGTAAAAAATCTTAATTACACATGAATATGAGTTCACCACGGGCAAGAACCACTCAACTAAGGTAGGAGAGTTGTGCCGGCTATGCAACACATGACACGCGCTAATTGGATGGTTTAAATCCTCAGACATGCGTTCAATTCTCGAAAGCTTAAGAATTTTTATTATTATTCTCGTAATGACATGTGGCGTGTTCTCGTTGGCATGTTGAATCGACTAGTCAGATATGGCTTCGAGTTGGTTTGAATCGCAAAATGTGTGTCGTCGTTAGACATAGAAAGCGATGTTTCACCCTCCCCTCAACATGTGGTGTAACCGCAATCTCCTGCACTCTATTGGTGACTGTTTGATGCGTTTGATTTCTCTATATAGATCAATTTACGATTCTTTTCCAATTTTGTTTTTTTTTTCATAACTTTCCATGCATAACTTGAATCAACTTAGTTCTTTCATCAAAGTTGTAGAGTTTTAAACCGTCCTTAGTCCAAAGATAATCAATGTAATGATCCTAAATTTTCTAACCTAGATTATAGACGTCATTACATGCATGTATTTAGTAACATATGCAAAAATTTAATAAAACATTTCAATGAAGTCGACTTGTACGTTTAATTTAAAACAAGAAATTAAAAATATCATGGTAAAAAACAAAAGGTTAACATAATTTTAAGTACAAAAATGAAAAGCTACCTATGAAACTCCTATTGGAAAACAAAGCATACTATTAACCTATCATAGATTCCATAATCATTTCAATATTCACCGTCATTCGTGCAGGTGCCCTTTACCTTTACCTAAAAGATAAGGGTAGCATGTGGCTTAAGTATTTTAACAATACTCAATAAGTAACCCTACTATTGGGGTCAGGTAATGCAAACACACACGTACATGATACGACCTAACTTTTAAAACAACATAGCATGACCTTAAGCTCTTTCTAGTCTGGACAGGATTAGATGTATAGTACTTCCCACACACGGCCCACGCACGTGCACATGTACCCACTAGGTGGGCTCGTATACGTACACCTGGCCCTGACTTGTCGGGCTAAATGCGCTGACACGTCGTTGGACACCAAGGAGGAAAAGACTCGCATGATATCATGGTGAATGTAGACATTGAAGGTATGCATCCGTACTAACATAACATAGCGGGAAATTATCATGATGCACATGGCATGCATAAATGCATGAGGTCCTCGTGACTTAAAATCTTAGCATTGTAAGGACCGTATATCATTCGAAGTACGTATAGACATTGAAATCTCATAAGTAGTCCTAGGGGCATTTTGGTCATTTTACTCATAATTCTTGGTTTTGCTACTTAACGTGTTCCAATGGCTTTCAAACTTCGCCAAATCATCAAACATCATAAAATAAGATCTACTTAAGGGTTTCATAGCATTTTGAGGTCATCTATATCATGAACCGTAGGTAGATATCCTTTGGGGCATTATGGTCATTTTGCACTGTTTCTTGGTTTACCTACTTCTCCTTGTCCAATGACCACCAAACTTCATATATAACCTCAACATGCAATAATATGCTCAGTATTAAAATTTGATAGGCAGCGGAGTTCATCTAGTGGGTTATTATAACGTTACCTAAATTCCAAGCAATTCGTTTGGTTCAAGGCCTTAATTCACGGTTCCTAGGGTTTTTCTTTTATGTATCTCATACTTGGTTTAGGGTTCATATGGAAATCCAAGCGATTCCTATAAGTATTTCTTAACAGAAAGAACAAGGTCGCTACTTACCTCGTTGTCGACGTTTGGGACCTCCGTTCTTCAGCTTCCGGTACTCGAATTACCTCAACTTTCCTTTCCCAGACTCCTTATCATGTCTACTTTCTGGAACCATAGAGTTTTTCATGAGAACCAGTCTGTAAGGGGGTTAAAATTGAGAAAAACTGAGGGAAGGTCAAGTTTTTGGTTGACATGGCCGGTTCAACTGAATCGGCCACGTCATCGTCTTCTTCCTCCAAACGGGAGGAAGACGCGGCCGGCATAAAGCGCCGCCGTCTGAAACTTGCCCTCGGTTTCTTCATAAAACTTAAAGAGGGTGTTACAAGGAAGAGCTAGGGATTGATTTCAAGGCTTTTCGTGGATTGTAGCCTAAGATATTCGCTTCCAAAATTCGTCCAAAATATGATTAATCGCCGGAGTAAAAACAGAGGATTTCTTATTGGGTAACCGGTTCTAGGGGTTTTCGAGGCTCGATTTCTTCACGAAACATCTTCCTTGTTCTTCCCTCAAGATAAAAGAATTGGTTTGGAGGAATGACTTTGAGTGTGGGATCTTAATTTTGAGGAACCACTCTCGATCTGCAAGTTACCCGACACCTCCGAATTTCGATCTCTTGGGTATCATGTTCTACGACGTTTCAGCACTTGATTCCTGTTAGATGAACACGACTCTCCACAATGGTATGATATTATCCACTTTGACCATAAGCTCTCATGGTTTTGCTTTGAGCTTCCCCAAAAAGTCTCACACCAATGGAGAGTGTATTCTTTGATTATAAACCCATGACCATTCCCTAAATTAACCGATGTGAGACACTTTCATTTAACAATTCCTTCATCAAACTTACTCATCTTCTTCCTCTGAAGCTAAAGAAATCCTTAATTTGAAGGAAAAGAGGCCGTGGATAGGAATTCGACACTTACCCCCAATTTGAACCCGAAACGGATTTTCTTCAATTCGAAACGTTCCTGAGGTTATTTCTCTTCGTAGTCTTCTACGGAAACATTCCTTGGAAGTGCATAATGGGATCGTCCTTGATCGGCGAATTCTTGTGTATCCTTGGATTGGAATTTAGAGTTTTCCTTAAATTTCTTCAATGGCGGATTGGATTGGGTGAATGGTTTTTAGGCACTTTCAGGACTTTATTCCTTCGTAGAACTTGTGGGTAATCTTGTTTAGAAGCTGTAGGAACAAGTTTGAAAGGAAATGGTAGAGACTTGCTCTCGAATTTAGAAGAAACATGAGAGTAGGAGACCCAAAATCTAAACACTTATTGTCAACGACGGAGAGCTCGACCTTGCTCGATTCTTGTTCCAAACGATTGCCCCAACTTTAGAATTTATAGGGGTAACTTAAACCGACATTGGGAGCTCCAGAATCGTCGTGAATTTTGGTTGGATGTTCTGAAAAATTCGTTGGAAATATCTACTCCGATCAGAGCCTCACCGACCTTGGTTTTAAATCCTAGCCGTTGGATGTGATGATCCGTGAGTATTCTATATCCAAGTTTGGAGGCGATCCAACGGCTAAGAGTCGAGATTCGAAGGATTTTGTTCACAAGGCATTGTGAAGGTTCTGATTCTTGAGCAGAATGGCAAATCCGTAATTATCCTTAACTTCAATGGTATCTTGGTAATTTGCCACTTTCCGAATATTTTATTATTATTTTCTCAAAAAATCCATAATTTCTTAAAAATTCTTCATCCCTTCTCTGTCATTTTTCCCTTCTTGAACATCTTGAAATTCCTTCTAGACAAGGAACTAAAAATCTAGAAAAATCCTTGATAATTGGAAAAATGATCTTTTCGTCCTTTTCGCTTACGCTTTCATTCCCAATCCTTCTCCAAAGGTCTTGAGTCCTTAAGATTGCTTCTTATGGTATAGAAATGACTTACTAAGATTCATTTCCTTGCTTAATCCTCATAATTTCCTTCCTTGTATCATTTGGGTCTTGTATAGGCAGCTTTCCTCCATTTTTTGGGAGTTACAAGCATATAGTAAGAATCATTTCGTTCTTCCTCTCATTCATGTCTTAGTACACAAATGAGCCATGTATGCATAGTACTCATCATGAATTTCATCTTGCATCATCATTGGTACAGGATAATTGTAAGGATCCAAAAAAAAAGAAATGAGGTCGCCGGAAAAAGGTGGCGAGAATTCTGACTACTCTCTAGAATTCTCACACCCTCACCCTCACCCTACACGTTTCCCCGATGTCAAAAATACACCAGTGACCTGCAGCCGCACCTCACAAAATCCACCTGCAAAGAAAAATAACATGATAAAGAGGGAAAACGAGGGAGAAGAAGAAGAGATTGTTGAGTTACCTCATGACAAGCACGACGCCGACAACCACCCCATCGAGACTCATTACGCCGTATAGTGTAGATAACGTCATGGAAGAAATGATTACCAAGCTAGGAAACACCATGATGTACACAAATGATTACTATCGAACTGTGTATTAGCTTTGCTGGCCAAGAGAATGAACTGATAATCAGTTCCACTCTTTGTGTGCAGGATCGAACCTTAGAATCAGTT